TTTTTTTTTTTTTCTTATGCAGGAATAAAAAACTACTCTAACTGGCCTACCATCCCACAAGTATACCTCAACGGGGAATTCGTTGGTGGCTGTGATATACTCCTCCAGATGCATCAGAATGGAGATCTCGTAGAAGAGCTGAAGAAGCTGGGAATCCGTTCAGCGCTTCTGGATGCAGAGAAAGAAAAAGACCAAGACAAAAAGTAAAACGAGCGAAAAAGATGCTGTGACAGGAATAAAGCAAATCTTCGCTAAGAACTTGTTACCAGTAAAGCCTTATGTACTTTAGCTCAAAGAAGGCATCTTTTTGAACTGACACTAAGATTTATCTGTGAATGTCTGTTAGCTCATGGTAAATGTAGTGATCTTGGTATTTTGATTTATGGGTATTGTGAAAATTTGAATATAACCACTGCACTGTAAAGCATACATTTGTGGAAATGGTGTTTTTAAAAAAAAAATCACTCAAAAAGCATTCAATTCTTGATTGAAGCAGAAGTAAACCAAAAGAACTAATATTTTTATGGATTTTGAGTGTGTGTTTCTCTGTTCTTTGTTACGCAAACCTATGCAAACAGTGTTTGCATTCCCTTGCTCCTCTGGAAAAAGTGTTAAGTAATAGTGCATCAGTTTTGCTGTATAACTGCTGGTGATAAGACTTCCTGAGAGCCTGTAAAACTTTTGTAATCACATATGATAGGAGAAAAATAGTCTTCAAACAATATAGAAGAAAAGAATTATATGAGAGTGCATGAAATATACTTTTATTCCAAAGGGTAAAAATAAACAGACTTGTACAAATAAATGTATAATGGTCGTTATTACTTTGTAACATTCTGATGGGTTTTAAAAGATTGCTGAGACTTGTGCCTAAAAATTTTATAAAGCCTTTTCTACCTCTTGCAAAGCAGCTTTTCCCCCTGCTTATATACTTTGTGTATTGCAGTTCTGTGTCAGTGCTAAAATATGAGAATTGTTAAAGGCTTCAGTACTCTGGCTTGAAATAGTAGGGGAGAATACTTCAGTTACTACTGTAATCTTGTATTATTTGCTAGTTACTAAGTTATCTTTTTATATTTGCTGTATTTTCTCCTGACTGCTGTGCTTTGAAGAATAGGGTCTTCAAACATGGGATTAACAGATGAAATGTTTCACGTAGATGAGTGCAGCAGAGAGGCTGCTGCAGAGATAAATATTTCTTTGTGGAAGGTCTCTGAAGTCTTCACTACCTATCTGGCCACGCTTCCCTATGTTAAAACAAATTGTATTAACCAATGTAGCTTCGCCTGTGCAGCAATACTGCTAAGGTTAAAAGCTAACCAAGCTGTTTCTAAATGCAGTTTACTTTTATTAATACAAACCAGTTTGCATGTGAATTAGACAAATGATTGGAAATAAACTGTATTTTATGTTGATTGTCTCCAATAGTTCCTCTTTATTTTAAATGACTGGTACTACTTTTGATTTGAAACCTAAAAAGTTTTGCACTGCATAGGATAGAAAATGTGTTTTAGAGAAAGGAAAAATTATCAGTGATCAGTGGAAGCCAGGACTGGAACTTGCAGTCAAGAAGGATTTGATGCAAGTTCCGGTTCTAAATCTCTCTCCTGCCCACTGGAACCAGCTGTCCAGCGCAGAAATTGTACTGGGACGTTCTTCACAGAACTGGCCAAACTGGTTACAGTGAGCTTACTGTATAGTTTTAATGCAACCAATATCACCAGGATTAAATGCAGCGGGTACATGCTGTAAGTATTCACTTGTTCACGATGGCTGCCCAGCACCAGGGGAGGTGACTGAACGGCCACAGAGTGGGAATCAGTTACACTCAGAGGCAGTACCTTGTGACCATGAGGCAAGTGACATGACTGCAAGATTATTTTTGTTCATATACCACAGCACGTTTATGAAATGCAAAGCTTTAGGTGTAGGTGAAGGTTACTTCTGAGCATTTCAGTGTTACCTCCCTTTGAATTCAAATTAAATAATATTTCTAATGGCTCATCTTCCACGAGTAGTTTGTGCCGTTCTGAATGTAAAACGACATTTAGAAAAACATCTTTGGTTATTTGTGTGAAAAACCCTATTGAAATGAATGTACGCAGTAAACAATAGGGTAACTTGAAGGAAATTAAATTATTTTCTGCTTCAATGGATAGCTCTTACTCTGGCTACTAAACAAATCTATTAAAAAACAAAACCCCAGAGCTGCTGTTTCATAGACCTCTATTCTTTATTGTTCTGCAAAAGCTGACTTTTTCAGTACTATCTGCTAGTAGTTGACATGAAGGTAACCTCAGCATCGTCAGGTCCTCTTTCTCCAAGCAGCAGCGTTTTCCTCCCTGTGTGAGTTCCTGCCATTACCAGAACTATGAATAGTTTTTCTACTTTATCTTCTTCGTTCCTCTTAGACTTTTTAGTTTTTTAACTGTTTGGTTAAAATTTTGCGTAACACATATAGTAGTGTTTATATCAATCCTTTGCCTGATTGGAATGTGTCCCAACTGAGCAAGTTAAAGCAAGAGTGATACCATAAAGCACGTGACAAAGCCACAAAAGGGAGGGACATAAACTGTGATCTCTGCATTCAGTTAGGAGCCATGTCTTTCCAGGTTTTGTGTGCATGAGCAGTCTTTTTACATGTTACGTCTGTATAAATGCTCATGTTAATGCAACTGCGATGGAAAAATCACCATCTACTTAAATTGCAAAACTGCAGCTTATTGTGACTCACAAGGGAGTGTACACCTCCAAACCAAAAGGGATGGTGCTGCAAATGGGCTCATTTTGGGGGGGAAAAAATCATGCCTTTCATTGATGAGAGATTTGCCCCTGCTTTTCTTCTGCTCTTTGGCCATGAGAGAAGGCAACTGACAGCACTGGGGTCTGGAGATGTGCTGAGCCAGTACCAGAGCGCTGGGAAGATGAATGAGGAGCCCCCAGTTGGGAGGATTCCCCCCAACCCAGGAGGACCAGAAGGTCACAAGAGATGAGGGGAAAGATAGGGTTGGAAAACACTGGCACTGCTGCTTGTGCTCCCCTTGTCACCCTGCAGTAAAGCAGAGATGGAAGAGGTGACAGTGCTTGGGAACAGGGGAGAGCAAAGACAGGAGCTGCCCTCCCTATCTTTGGTGAAGAAAGAGGCAAAGCTGCCTGGTCTGGAGTTTGGCCTGTGGGGGTAAGAGTAAGGGAGCATTGCCACCTGTAGAGCTTCTACAGATCAAGGCTGGTTGTACGGAGCCCCCAGATCCAAAATACAGTTAAATCCTGCTCCTGCCATTCGGGTTTTTAGTGTGTTGTAGCAGGCAGGTGTCCTGGCTGGCTGCTCCCCCAGGGAGCTACTTCTGGGCTCATTTTGGCTGTATTGCCAACTGCTGAGGGCTCACAATGAGGGGAATGTGTGTAAACTATTATCTATTATTTTTATTCTATTATGATAGGATTGTAGTATGAATGTTTGCCAATCTGGAAGCCATTATCATAATTATTTACATTTTGTTCTGAGGATGCCCTTGGTGCTGCTGCTGTGGTAAAAGGCTGAGCTGAGCCGACCAACCTATTCACCAGATCATAAATTAAGGTAATCCTTTCTTCTAACACTTCTCACCTGTGACATATAAAGCCAGGTCATTTGAGTTAAGCAAATGAGATTGCTTATATTCCTAAACCCACCTGGTGTCCTAAACCTTCATCAAAGAGGAGGGGCAGTTTCTTTGCTCTCTTGAACTGGTCCTGGTGGGAGCAGGAGGAATCAGGTATTAAACATTTGTTATTGTGCTGTTAGTTTTAGCTTGAGAGAATTCAAATCTGTTCAACCAAAAGTTGTTTCTCTGAGAAAATGAACTGTTAAGAGCTCAGTGGGACATCTGAATGGGTTACGTGGTAAGTGAGTTTCTCCTTGCCTTAATTTTGCTAGCAAATGTTCAGATGTGGTCAATATTCTCCATTGCTTGTCTGCTCTGAAAAAAAAAAAAGTAGTTTGTGCAGTTTAAATGCCCTGAAATGTTTGAAATGCCTTTATTTGGGTCTGATGATGCAGAAGCTTATTTTCGTGTTCTGAGTGAGTTCTGCAATTCTCTTAAAAAGTGGGCTAGAAATCTTCAGCAGGGTTTTTCCAGGAGTCTGTCAATGCTAACACAGTGTATAGAAAGCAATCAAGTGTGGGAAGGTGAAATGGAAGAATTGTCCCAAGGAAAACCTTTCCTGAGCTGGCACCAAGAATCCCACCGGGTCCCTGTCAGCGGAGCTGGCAGCCTTAGCAATAAATCCCTGCCTGATCTGGTTGGCACATCCCCTCTGCAGAAACCAGATCTTCTGACATGAGGTTTTTCAACATCCGTATGACAGGGTTGTGTAAGAAAAAAATAGCTTAACAGTTACAAGGCACGTGTTACCTCCTAAAGAGTCCCTCTGAGCAAAAGTGGAAAAACAGTGAAGAAAAGTAAAGAGAGTTTGAAGGTTCTGAGATGGTTTATTGTGCTGGATGGTGGGTCCAGCTTGCTTTTTTGTCTGAAAGGGTTGAGATTAAACTGGTGCTCTGGAAGAGGCTGTTTTTACGATTTGGTTTTGGCTTTATTGTTGGGCTGCTGTGTGTTTCTTTGAGTAGCTCTGTCTTGCAGCGCTGCTGGCTCTCGCACGGCCTGATCATGGCTACAGAGACCCCTGCCTGATTTAACTGCTTGAGGCCTATCCTGACATAGCTTTTAGGAAAAACAGGTTTTAGTAACGCAGAAAATAGGACTGAAGTCGCTAAGATTCTGACTTATAAACTTCCCCTTTTCATCCAGCTTCTTGCACGTGCCTCGATTCCCTGAAAGTAAGGGAGCAGGCCAGGGGCAAAGCAGGGTTTAGTTAGAAAGACTAAATTGTACTGTATAAAAAACTTGTGGTAGTTGTAGGGTGTGCTGGAGAGGAACGCACAGTGCTGTCTGTAATGAGCAAGCATTCATCGTATCGTCACCATTTCTGAGATCACTTTTATTAATCAGACAGCAGAAAAGTTTGCAGGCTGGCAGGCTGCTGGCTTGTGCCCCCCTCTCAAGAAGAAACAAAACCTTTCAAGGGTGACTTTTATTCTCAAATGACTCTAATGTTTTAAGACGTTTTGAATCAGAGTAAATAAACACACTCAACTTCCCAAAAGATGAAGGGAGGCACTAGAAACTTTTCTCTAGCTGTTGAAATACATGCTGTAATTTCCACTGTGTGCCTTAAGTGTGTGCAGGTGGTGATGGTTTGTAAGGACCAAAGAAGAATCTAAGGGCCAAGTTCAGTATTAATTTTAAAACAGCTTTGCTAATTGAAGTTAATTCTAACAAACAACGGAGGGAGAACTATTTTTTTTTTTTTAAATTGCTGCAGCTGTTCTGCATAAAAAGCCATGGCCCTGGTCCTACACACACTTTCGAGATGCTGGCATATATGTCTGTGCTTTTGTAGTTATATATTATCCCTTCTAAGGTAAAGCTTGCATGGGGGGGATTATTTAGTATCTTTAAACACAAGCTTCTGTAAAATTTTACTTGGTATTGAACAGTGAATTGAGTCCAAAGGGACTTTGGGGGCGTCTTGAATTAGAAAAGAAACACTGAATTATTTTATTTTTTTTTTGCTTGTTATACAAGCATGTTCTTCAAAGCCTGAAGGATTTTATATACAACTTGGCCTCAAAACAACGAAAGAGGACACTTGAGCCTTCGTTTTGCAGACTAGTATAAACTGGAATGCAGAGAAATTGATTTGCTGCTTGTCCTACAACAGCTATAGAGAGAATAAAGTTTTGGAGCCTTTAGACTTAAACCTATGATTTGGTGAGTGAAAACCAGAAGCTTTTATAGGGCTAGCTCAATAAGCGTTTCAGAGCTTTCAAATGCACACTACAATGACTGTTTTTAAAATACTACTTTCAGTCAGACAATATTTCCCTGTTGAATGTTAATGCTATGAAACCTAACATTTCTGTTCTTAACCACAATTTCAGTTGTTTAAAATATAAACAGGTCTCTAAGAATTAGGTGTTTTGTTTGTGGTTTTGGGTTTTTTTTAAACAAAAAACCAAGTTTTGACTTTTTTTCCCCATAAAGAAAATTTAGGCATTCTCTAGCAGCAGTGCTTTATGATCACTTCAAAGGGGATGTGGCCTGTGAAGACTGGGTCACAGCTTGGAAGAGATCAGTTTTAGGGCTGATATTCAAGAATGCCTTGTACTGCTGATTTAAAAAAATACGCAGAATCTAGGATGTGTTTTCCTTCAGTATTTACTGTGTTTGCTCCTCTGGCTGTGATGCTCCATGAGGGAGCAGCAGTAACATTTGACAGGAGACAGGTGCAAGAGGACCGATACTGTCTGAAAAGCAAATAAAAGCAAGCAAACTAGATATTTGAGGTGGCTCCAGAGGACAGGCTGCGGAGGGTCCCCCTCTTTGGGGGGATGCTCTGGGGGTGAGCTGCTGGCAGCTGTGGCCCAGGCCACCCAGGAGATGGTGCTGTTGAATCGGGGAAGCGGCACAGCCCTGACCCAGAAGCATCTCTCAATGCGGTCCTCCCTGTTTTCCATCTGTGTTGCCTGTTATTCTTTTGGGGGGTCCTGGTTTTCTTTTGGGAGAAAGGTGGTGTCAGTGTTGAACCCGGAGCCTCCCCCGGTCAGGTATGTGATGCCGTTGCCAGACAGACCACCCTACGCCCTCGATGGAGATGACGCCAGAGCCTGAAGGCGATGTTTTTCCCTTGGACTGCGTGGCTGGCGAGATGGTAACGCCAAGGCGGGGAGCAGCTTCACAGCTCATCGCCCTCAGCCCAGCAACCGCCTGAGACCCGCCGTGCCCGTTCCAAGCGCTCACTGGCTGCCCGCTGCCTCTCTGCCAGGGGTGGGGAGCAGCGTGGGGGCTCCTCGGGGACCCACGGGCTTCCCTCCGCCATCCTCCGAGGCGGCCTGTCCCCACACACACGTGTCTGGGAAAGGTAAGAGCAAGGGTGGCGACTCGAGCAGGGCCGAGCGTGGGGCGTGATGCCATTTTGCCATGGGGTGGGGGATGCGGGGAGCAGGGGTGCCGCAGCACCCGCTGGGGTGGGTGTGCAGTTCTGGGGCACCCTTGCCCCGTGTCTCGGGGTGCCGGACACCCGCTTTCCTCCCACAGCGAGCACGACTGTCTGCAGCTGGGTCGGGGTGGGACAATTTTGAGGCGGCGGAGGGGAATTTGGGTTTCTTTCAGTCTGGGAAGTCTCAGCAGAGCAAGAGGTCAGGTGGTTGCGGTGACGCTTTTCTGTTGATTTGCTGATCTGTTAGCATCCTCTGGTTGGGTTCAAAGGCTTCAAATCTGTCTAGAAATGAACAGCAGGAGCTGGATCAGGCCAGTGGAAGCCCTGGCAGTGGTCATAGCAGCACGAAGACTGGGTATTTGCAGAATATTTAAGGGAAAAGTTGTTCAGTGGAGGCCTTTTCCCCAGGTGCAGGAGGACTTACGTCTCCGAGTGTTCCTGCCTGCGTAACCAGTGACCAGGGGTTTACACGTGACATAAATTACCGGCTCTCGTTCCCCAAGTCCTCTACCTGAGCTGTTTTCTACCTGAACGAGCATTACCGAAATGAGGTCTTTTTTTACGTTCAGGGAGGGAGGCAGACAGCAAGCCTCCTGCAGGCATTGGGGTGGCTTCCAAGGCCTCTCATGGTGCAGCCACCCTTCTGCTACAAAGTCATTTTGAGTTGTTGCACCCAGAGCCTTCTGGTCCAAACGAGCATGGCCACTGGTGGCACAGTGTTTGGTGAGGACAGAGCTGTCCATGGGGAGGATGGCCAAGCCCCATGTGTGGACCCACCCAGGGAGGCCAGTAAAGGATTTGGGGATTGTGTCTCTTGTGCTGCATTTCATTCATCTTCCTATACCATTAACAGCAATTCAGTGCTCAGCCTTGCCAGGGGTTTTGGCAGGCAGAGCAGTAACACTTCTTGTTGGCTTTTGCATGGCCAGAGGTAGACTGACTTCTTAAATTTTTTTGTTTGTTTTTCTAACAATACATTATTTAAAGCCTAGCTGACACGTTGCATGAGAAACCATTTGGCAGGGTGTGGGGATGGGGTTGAGGAACTCTGTTGTCTGGTGGTAATTAGGTGTGTCAGCAGCAGGAAACCAGAACAAAATACTGAAGAAGCTTCTAACAACTTAGGAAGTAGCATAACAGAAATAAAGTAGCCTGAAGCAAGACGGTTCAAATATCTTCGCTTTTCATGCAGACTTGAGGTGCAGTTCAGCTTGCTCTGCTGAAGAACTGCCAAGTTTAGGGCTGGGACTGGATGTTGCTCAAGCTCAGGCCTCAGGAGGGAGTGCTGTGAGCAGGAGATGGTTCAGGCCTTGGCCAAAACTTCAACTCCATCGATGTGGTCCTGTGTATCTCCACCTTGGAAAGATAAGCTCTTGCTATCTACCAAAGGTGTCTCAGAACCAGACAGGAAGTTACATGTTTTCTTTTAGGGACCATTTTTGCACTAGTACCAAGGGTGAGTCTCAGAACCAGACAGGAAGTTACATGTTTTCTTTTAGGGACCATTTTTGCACTGAAGTCTTGGATAAAATAGAGTGCTAAGGATCAGCACACTGACTCAAACCTAGGAGACCTCTCCTCTGAGACCTCAAAGCAGCAAGCTATAGTGTCAGGCTTCCTTTCCTTTCAGAAGCTTTGCAGTTCTTTCTGAGTCAGGAACCCTGCCCCAAAAAGTGGGAGAGCTTGTGCTCTCTTCCCTCCTGGTGCCTGGTGACCTGCATGGTTAATGTGAGATGGGCAATGCTGGCTTGATCTCCTTCATGTGCAGCCTTTCCACATGCAGAAGCAAGTACTATAATCACTACCGTGTTGCAGAAAAACAGCTTCCACCACGAGGTTTTACTGGGTGGATTAGATACTCCAGCTTTGCCAGTTACTGGCTTCCACCACGAGATTGTTACTGGATGGATTAGATACTCCAGCTTTGCCAGTTACTGCCTAGTTTCTGCCTTTGGCAAGTCTAAAACAGTGGGTAGGTGCCTTTTTTTTCAGGCTGGGCCAGAGCCATAGGTAGGTATGGAATTCCAGATCAAAATTTGCCCTTTCTTACGTGCCTAAATCCTGATATCCTGATTTTTTCATTCTTAATCCTAAGCAATATGGAGGAAGGAATTCAAGGTAAGATTGCATCTGAAGCTGTTGACAAGACACGTTAATGCAACATGGCTCAGTAACTTAGTAGGAAATGAAGTGCAGGAAAGTGACTGAAGTTTGAACTTCAGAATATCCAGGTTTTGGTCACATTGAGAGGGTTAGTCAAAAAAGCTCCTGAGGGGGGTGTAAAGGAAGAAAAATCCTTAAAGATGCCATGAATTCCACTTAAGAACAATAATAGAGTCTGGAGGGCATGTATGTTGCTAATAAAACTAATTCTATGCAGGCAAAGAGTAAACCACTGCAACTAAATGGCAGGGCTGGAGAGCTTTTTGAGTTAAATGGGAATCTTTTAAAATTTGAAAATATAACCTTAGCGTACCAATACATTGGTGTATTAATTTGTGTAAAGACTAGATGGAAGGGAAATTAGGAGATACAGCAGACTGCAAACAGCTAAAGGTATGAAATAAGAATGTTTCAGGTTTATCAGTCAGAAGAGTAGGAATAATTAATTGGTAGTTCACAAACTGGATCGCTGAAGATTAAAGGCAGAAATTAAAGAAGATAAAGACATTGCTGAGAATCTAAATTATTTCTTTGCATCACTCTTCAGCACAGAGAATATCAGAGCGATACCTATTGGGACTTGCTCTTTTCTGGTAATCAAGATGTGTCACAAGAAGAGCTGGAACAAATCGATAATTTAAAAAGCAGCAAATCATCAGCTCCAGATGGTACATTGAAAAGTTCTGAAGGAGCTTAGTGTGAAATAGTTGATGTGCAGCAAAAATATGCCTTCGCTAATTAAAAACAGCTATTTCATTGGAGAAGTGGAGGGTAACAATTATACCCAAAGTTAAAAACGGGATGAGATAATTTGAGGAAGTACACGCTCTCACACACTTTACCCAGACACACATTTCTGTTTTATAAACTGGTAGAAAACAATGTAAAGTAGGAAAACAAACAAACAAAAAAAGGAAGATGGTGCCATGAAAGAATCTAGAGAGCAAGCTTTCTGCAGAGAAAAATCATGCCTCATCATTATTCTGTTATAACTCCAACTGGGCCAGTCTTGTCCTGGACAAAGAAAGAAGCAACTACTCTAATTTAGGTGAACAGATCTTTGGCCTATGTAGGATCAAAGACAGAGGAGCTTGCTGCATATTTTTTGGATGTTGTGACTGTGCCAGGCTGCACGTCCAAGAAGCCCTGGCTGTCCTTGGAATCTCCATGCCACATCAGTCCCATGGCTTGTTCCTGCTCTGCGATGGTGTTATCTCACCTACATGACACTGAGCCCTGCTTTCAGCTGCTCTGGGAGGTGAGAAACCAACAAAGGGGACAAGCGATCTGTTTCCAGCCTCTGAGAGAGTTTAGCTGCAGGTTGCTTCTCTGTGTCTGTTAGCTTTACAAGTCTGAAAAGGTGAATGTAGGTGAGAAAGCTGACACACTGCTTTTAAATTTTAAATCCTACAGAGAGTGTAAAGGTCATTCTGGGCAACTGCAGGAGGGCAGAAACTAGGAGTTGAGGAGCATCAGTGGCAGCTGTGGTAGGGAGCTCTTCCTGCAGGTAGCACCGAGATAGCAGCTTTGTGGTGGACGCACCCTGGGAAAGAAAACTATTAACAAAAATGTTAAGACCCTCCAATTTGTTAGGTAAAGCCTAAAGGGACTGGCTGGCTGAATCCTCTTTACCACTGTCAGCTACACCTCCCACTACACCATGTTGCTCAAAGCCCTATCCAGCCTGGTCTTGAACACTTGTAGGGATGAGGCAGCCACAACTTCCCTGGGAAACCTGTTCCAGTTGAGAGTGTTTCACCCTCAGAGTGAATTTTTTTTTCTGATATCCAGTCTAAATGTGCCTTTTTCCAGTTTGAAGCCATTACCCTTGTCCTATCACTACATGCCCTTGTAAAATGTCCCCCTCCAGCTTTCTTGTACACCTCCTTCAGATATTAAGGCCACTATAAGGTCTCCCTGGAGCCTTTTCTTCTCCAGGCTGAACAATCCCAGCTCCCTCAGCCTGTCTTCCTAGGAGAGCTGCTCCAGCCCTCTGATCATCTTTGTGGCCCTCCTCTGGGCCTGCTCCAACAGGTCCATGTCCTTCTTACATTGGGGCACAGAGCTAGCTGCAGTACTCCAGGTGGGGTCTCACGAGAGTGCACAGAGCTAGATGCAGTACTCCAGGTGGGGTCTCACGAGAGTGGAGTAGAGGGCCAGAATCACCTCCCTTGACCTGCTGGCCACGCTTCTTTTGATGCAGCCCAGGATGCAGTTGGCTTTATGGGCTGTAAGCACACATTGTCAGCTCATGTTGAGCTTCTCATCCATCAACACCCCACTTCCCATACCCAAAACTACTTTGGGCTGTATAACACAATAAGATGTTGGTGATGGTTGCCTAGAGCAATTCTCAAAACCACTTTATTCATCGTTAAGATAAAGAAAATTTTCCTCCTCAGTAGCAAGATTATGGAGTGGGAAATACAGATTATAGGCACAGTCTTCAGGGAAAAACTGTGTTAATTGTCAGTAACATCTTGTAAACTCTAAGATGTCCAAGTCGTGAATGTTTGGCTAGGCTCCAGCTAGCAGAAAAATATAGACATGTTTTCTGATCATCCTACCAGAATAAGGCAAATTGTAACTATGCAGTTTGTGACTTTTTTTTTTTCTTCATGGCTTAAGGTAAAGTCTTTGAGTTGGTGGACAAGCTGTTTTTCATTTTTCACTTCCCAAAAAGCTGGAGTGGGAGAGCCAAACTTCAGATCTTGTGTACAAGAGAAATTGCTATATAGTTTTCTACTTGGAGAAATGAA